AGAAGGAAGGAGAGGCAGGGGCTGACATGACTTCCCTCATTTTGTAAGGGGCCAACAACATTTTGCGACCTCCCACACTAGGAACACAACCTTTGCTTCTCCAAGACACATTTCAGGCACTAAAGCACTTTCTGTTGATTAAATAAATCAAGTCACAACACAGTTCCACAGTACAAAACCATGAAGGACTGGGGCAGTCTATTCCTGACTATTGCATGCTTTCCAAGTACAAAACACCGAATCCATCTCTCAGATATGAAAAAAATTACGTCTAGGTGAAACGTTTCTGTACAAAAAGCCCAACTGAAAGATGATGATGAATTGGTTTTATTCCCCGCATCCAGGTGATGCTGTTTCATTTTCTATCATACCATAGCATTTGGCTTCTAGGGTTGTGGCCCATTTAATCTCACTTCAATGAAACATTTAAAAGCTTTTTGTCCCCCAACTCTCATTTTGTTGAAACACTCAAAGACAATATAAAACCAGGAAAACAAATTTCCAGCCAGTGAACCGGAAAATAATCATCACAATTCAAACCAGATATCTCTGTTCTCATGTAGCTCTAGTTCCCAGGAACTGGGGTCAACAGATGTGCCATCAGCTGAGCTGCTGGTCCACCACCCACCGCTCACCCGTGCATCCCCCCGCTGATGCTGGGACACGACATCCCTCCCTCCGGGGCCCAATTCCTGTGCGATATTCCTCCATGTTGCAAATGAATTGCCATTTTTTCCAGCTCGTAGCTTCAAGGATTGACCTCAGACACAAGAGTCTGGCCACCACTTATTAATTTAACGCAGGAAAGAGTCAGGCAGAGTGCTGAGCAACAGATCAAGGAGGACGATGGGTTTTTGCTGCTACTTTAGTATGAGCAAGAAGGTATTTCACTCCCTAGGCTATGGGTCACCCTTGCAGATGGGAGGTTGAGGGGCTTCACCTCCCCACATCCCCCAGCCTGCCCACCCATGTTCACCCACGCCATCATTTCCCACCCAAGCCAGATTCGTGCACCAACATTCAAAATGCCAGAAGGTGTAGGTCAGTCTGCAGCCCCCGGCCAGGTTTGTTGCCACCTCCAGACCCTCCCAGAGCTGCACTTGACCCGTGATACAACCCTTATCTCAGGTCCATGAGAAGTTGCCCGCTCAGACCAACGAGGGCTGAGCAAAAACCAGCTTGTAAGTGCTTTTAGGACATGAAAGATAAAATTTTCTCCATTCAGCCTCACTGAGAGTCACCTACAGCTCATTAATCTCAAAGGAAGTCCTGCCCAGATGAGGGAGTCCGGGGCTGCCAGGTGGCCAGCACGGGAGGAGATCCCATTTTATAGGGTTGTATGCAACTGAGCCATTTACTGTTAAAAAAACCAAACTTGTAATCCCCGGTCCACTCATGTCATGCTGTCTCCACACAGACAGCCTCCCCATTCCTTATCTCAGCCCCTGGAGATTTGTGGTATAGCACAAAGAACAGCTGGACACGATAAGGCTTCTTCCAACACGCTCCTAACATCTATAAAGCCTCATCGTGATGGATCTGAATGGACCAGTGCCTGGGGATGCTACAGCTCATCCATTTCCAGTCCTCAGGATGCCACATCTCATCCATTTTCAGTCTAACCCTGCTCTTTTCCAGATGTTCTGAGCAAACATTGTGTTTTTTTCCCCCCCTTGTTCTCAAGCCTTAGATGTCCATCTCCAAACCCTACCAACACCCACCATGAAGAGCAGAGACCAAAGATGCTCCATTTTGGCCAAGCAAAACTTAATCCACTCCTGGCCCTTTCCAGCTCTTAGTATTGAGGGAAAATCTTAATTTCAATGAGCCACTCGTGTGGTAAAACTCCCCTGAGGAGGAGGTGAGCTGTCAGGATCCAACCCTTCAGGACTTACCACCATGAAAACTCAAAACCAAGCGTGCCGGCAATGAGATGTTTATAGCCCCAGTGATTCATAATACTGCTGCAGAGTTTGCAGGAAATGTAACACCATTGATGATCAGAGAAATGCTCTTGTTTTTCTGCTAAATATATAAAATAATCACTCATCCCTTGAGCAGCAGATGCAAATTATACATAGTATTAGCCTCATATGCCAACCGCTATAATTCCAGTGCAGCACGAAGCTGTTTCCCCAAGGCTCTAGAAGTCCCTTAATCTGCCCTTTGACGTCAAAAATGACAAACTTCTTGCTTGGGATCATTAACAGAATGACTAATGAAAGCTGATAAGTGAATTTATAAATGAAATTTAAAGATATTAATATTAAAGGCCAGGCTACACGAAAAAGAAAGGTGGTTTTAGCAAACCACAACAAGAAACGCAGTAATCTGCATGAGATTTAACAGCTCCTTTCCTGCCAGGCAAGTTAAGAGATGTGGTGTGTCATGCGGAAACTGCCAGGCTTGACGGACACCTCTCCTGAAGCATTAGCACCCTCGGTGCCTTCAGCCTGAGATTTAAAAAGCTCCTGCTCAAGTTTGCCAGCAAATGCCATGCTGGGGCCAAAAATAAACTGATAGTCTTGCAATGGTAAATGCACCACCAAATCCTCACGCAAATAAAATACCTATAGACTGTGGGCAGCTTGCTGCCAATTACTTTAAAAAAGAAAAAAAAAAACACCACCAAACAAAAAAACCCCAAACAAACAAAAAACACCCAAAAAACCCACTTCAGACTAGATTCAATTACTTTAAAAAAGAAAAAAATAAAAACAAAAGACCCAAACAAATGAAAAAATACAGCAAAAAAAAACCCACATCAAACTAGATTCTCATCTTCCTCACCCCAGTATAAAAACCAAGGAACTCTTTTAGAAGGTGAGGACTTATCTTGGATTTACTGACATATAGACAAGCTCAGACCTCTCCAGTTTGGTGTCCAGGCAGCTTTACCATAACCCCACAGCTCCCTTCTGACTCCAGCTGCTCCTCACTGAGGTTTAGGGCTCCCAGGATAGTCTAATTAAGCCTCAGGTCCCACCAGCTGATGATGATCAGCTCTGAATGGACCAGCCAACATCCTCCACCGCCCAAGGAGCACAGACAAATGAGATCCTACCCAATGCTGTAGGGTTGTAGGGGAGATAAAAAAGATAAAAAAAAAAAAAAAAAAAAAAAAAAAAAAAAAAAGCTTATTTTTGCCTGTAGATGCTCAGTTTTCGAGATGTATAATGGAAACTGGTTGGTTGGGCAAGTCCTCATGAGTGGTGCCTCCTCAGCTTTCAAAAAAACCAAGATCCCTTCAGATGTATCAGGATCTGGAGTTAGCAGCATGACAGAGGGAAGAGATGCCACCAGGAGAATGAGAAACCCCAGAGATACAACATGAAGAACCATCAGGGAGGTCACATTTGCTACGGGGATGTTTCCTAATCCCACCTGCTGCTGGAGGAGCCCAACGTGAGGAGCAGCCCCAGTACCACAGCTACCTGAGGGACTCTATTTCTGAAGATCTTTTAGAGACTCCCCAAGCCTGGAGAAGATGAGAGCAGGTTTTTGGAGCAGCTCCTAAACCAACCCTAGCGTTGGGTGCCTGGACCCCATCAGAGTGCTGCTCAAGGTCCCTTCAAAGATGTTCCAGAAGGTACTCATGGCCCAGCTTTCTCCCCGTTGGAACTAGATGATCTCTAAGGTCCGTTCCAGCCCAAACCATTCTATGATTCTATGACTCAAACCAAACCTCTTCATTAAAGAGCTACAAACCATTCACGTGCAACATTTTAAAAGAAGCCAGAGAAAACGAAGAGTGGTGAAGGACACTTACCAAGAGGGATCCACCACAGCACATGCCAACCAACCCAACCCAGCTGTGGGTGGGAAATGTCAAGGGCCAGCAGGCAGGAAAATGGGTGAGAAAATGTCTGAGGAGACTGCAAAACTGAGCAGAGGAGGAGCAGGAAGGGTTCAGCAAAGGTGGTGGGGAGGCATGGAGAAGATGTGGGTTTGCTTTCCCTGTGTCCTGGCTCTGCCGAGCTCTGCCAAGCTCAGCTTTGCAGGTCCCTGCAATGACCAGGATCCCCTGTCTGAAAAGCCATGTGGTTTGGTTTTTTTAATTTTATTTAGAATTTAGCCACTCTCAAAAGACCTGAGTTTCTGCCTAAGAAGGTTTAGGAATAAGACTACGTAAAGATTTAATGGGGAGATCTTCCATGGAGCCCCTTGGGAAACCACAACCATCTGCAGATCGACCCACTCCATCTTCCCAAATTGAACCCAAAAAGGGAGAAAATTTTCATTTTCTCCACCAGGTCTTAGCCTCAAGACTTCCAAGTTTTGAGCACCAAATTTGCCAAAAGCAGCAAGTTGAAGCTCAGCTTTATCTCCTACCCTTTAATCCAAAAGCCTTGTGATATCACCCAACTCCAGCAGTTTTGGGTTTTTGTAGAAACACCCAAATAACCATAAGATACCCAAGAGTCACGACATTTAGCAGCACCCATCACACCTCTCCCAGTTGCCAAACCAACTCTGGTCTTGGAGGTTACGGATATGGAAGATGATCTAGATGTAGGAGAAGACCTTTATGCAAAGTCTCCCCTTGCATTTCTCGCACATTTAACACTTCCCAAAATGAGTGCTTCCAGGTTAAGGTTGGGAAAAGCTTTTCTCTGCTGACCTGCTGCAGCACGTGTCCCCTTTTGAAGACCTCTAGAGAAAAAGGACCTTCCAGTTTTGACACCCAACACATGGTTTGGGTTTCAACACAGACCGGCTGGAAGAGATGCCCATGTCCCCAGAAGAGCTGTCCTCCCCTCTCCTTCCACCCCTGCACCTCCAGCGGTTGCGACCATCCTCCATTTGGTCAGTGGGGATGGATGAGCCCATCTTGGATGTCAGGCATGCTCCCCATGGCTCTTGGGGGGGTTTCTCCTACAGCTTTGGGAGGACAGGAGCTCCCGCACCTGCTCCATCCTCCCCTTTCAGCTAACAAGGTGCTCCCCAAATTCCGAGCGGGGTTTAAAACAAGAAGAACAAAAAAGGAACCTCAGACTTACTCTAGGACAGTCCTTTCAGGAGGTTCACGGAGGAGGACTTGGCACGAGGACTGAGGCGGGAGGCGATTATGGCAGCATCCCGGCGCCTTACGGATCTCGCCCCCGGCTTTGTCTGGGATGCACTGAGCGATGCCGGACTGTGTCCCCACCGTGTCCCCACCACCTTGTCCCCCACCCGTGGCCATGGCAGCTCCCACATTTTGTGGCAAATACCCCCCAATCCCCCTCCCAGCTTTGCTTGGGCACCAACTCACCGATTCTTAAATAACACATTTCCACAGGGCGGGATCTGCACACAGCAAGGTAAATCCAGATGGAAATTCCCAATATGAGCAAAATGCGACCACTGTTTGGTTTATCTTTTTTCTTTAAAATTATGTAAATTGTGACACCACCCCAAACCCCGTATGAGAGATCGGTCCAGCACCCGTTTGGCATCATTAAATACAGAGAGATGTGTATGAGACCTTTACGCAACCCTTAGAGCGATGAAACTCGGAGCCCGTTTTGTCCGTGTTTGGGATTATCCATCTCCCTGTTATCAAAAGAAGTAATTTCAAGCAGCCCCAGGAATACAGGTTGGTGCTGGAGAGATGTCTCAGCTTTAGAGAAATCGCTGCATGTGCCTCCACACCCACAGCAGCACCACCAGCACGTGACTCCTCTTGGATTTCCTCACCCCACGATGTTAAAATTAAAAAAAAAAAAAAAAAATTTCCCCTTTGTACCAGGTGGCTTTTCAAGTCTTGGTAGCGACAAAGGAATTAAGTCATTAAATCATGGATGTGTTTGATGGATTATGAGCTGCGAAAGCCTGGTGAATACTGCCTAATAATGCTGGGAGGTGGAGGGTGGTGGTAGGGGGAATGTTTCCTCTCGTAAAAATGTGTTTCTAACAAGACAGGTCAAAATACGATGCAGATGATAAATTGCTTAGTACGAGTTGCCATTAACCCAGCAGTTTTCTGGATTATTAGATAACCGACGTATCCTCACAGTATTATTGACCCAACAGTATTCTTCTGCATTAGCGTTAATTTGCAGGAGATCAGGGGAGGGGGTTGGGGTTTATTCCGCTCGCTGCGGTGAATCCGTGGCTCCGAACAAAGGGGCAGCTGCTGGCAGGTGTCTGTCACACAAGGTAATTTTGGGAGGGGACTGGGTTTTTGGGGTGGGGCAGAGTGTGTGTGCGGGGAATTCTTTTTCTTTTTTCCACACCATAACCCAAATCTCATTGTCTCATGTGGGGGTTGAAATTAAAAAAAAAAAAAAAAAAAGGGAAAAAAAAGAAATAAAAAGGAGGAAAAAATTTTAAAAAAAAAATCACATTGGAAAATGATCAGCCTCAACAGGCATGCACGTCTCCCTTCATGCAAGCGAGAAGCACAAGCCTCCCTCCTCGGGAAGCGTACAGGGTGACATGTGTCACACACGGAGCTCAGCGCTGGCCCGGGGCGAGGATGGAGTGAGAACAAAGGGGCACAGCATACACTACATCCAGGGGGGGAGCAGGGGGGCGACCCATTGTACGGGGATGGGAAGGGAACAGGATGGCCAAACAGTCATCGAGATACACAGAAAAGGAAATATGGAGAAGGAAATAATAAATAGATGTGTTAAAAATCACTAAACTAACCAAACTCGGGGTAAAGCCGGGAGGGAGGCGGAAAGGCACGGCCTTGCAAAATGATGCGACTCTTCGAGGGATGCCAGGGCGGGTTGCCGGAGCCACTTGCTTTTGGTTTTGTTTGCAAGCGGCTCCCTCTTGAAAATTATTTTTTAGCTGTAGGAACCCACCAACCTGCTGAATTTGTCTTCCTCTCATTAAAGACAAATCACCAATCCTGTGTTCTCCCCACCTTCTGTAGAAATGTAATTAAGATGCTCCCCCGCCCCAAACCTCCCCACAGCCCCAACCCC